GACCCTCCTTAACAACAAGCCCTAACTTATGGGCATAACAACGTATATGATTAGCTTCAGCATCCCACATGACTGGGTCATCGGCATTAGATAAGACAGATGAAAGTTCGATTGCCATTGTGTTGTTGTTTGAACCAGAATCGGTGGTTTGAGCTAATAAGTAAGATTAGAAATTGTAATCTCAGTACATAAACACTAATGGAATAAACATAAATAAAAAATTACTCATCTGTTTGTGGAGCCCGTGCTTGATAAGGTAGTGTGCAACCGGTTGAGCAAGAAGGACACCATAATGGTTCCATGTGACAAGTTTGAGCGTGAGATGAGCCGAGTGATAAGTCCACTGTCTGTCAACAAAGTTAGCTGAGACGCCGATAAAAGCGTACTTGCTCCCTTTTGTAGTCCAAACGTCATGGATCAAACAAAAGCGAGCACCATTGTCCTGTTCATCAAATACAATCAGCGATGTTTATCAGACATAAAACAAGAAGGAGAGATTGAAAGATAGTAAGAAACAACATACCTTGATTTCTTTAATCACCGACGCACTAAGATCCGTATACAACTCTTTAGACATAGATGCTGCCCACTTCGGAGTTCGCAAGGTAGCTTGCCGATTGGCCAGCTTAAATGCACCACGGAGTATTTGATCTTGAAATCGAGCAAAAGGCAGTGCGTGTCGTAGTATCCAAATCACCATTACATGGTTGAGGAGATCTAGACTAAAAGTGGGTCGAGAAAGAAACGAGTCCAGAGTACCTAGTGTACCAGTTACAGTAGGAGCCAGACTGGCCTTCTGTTGCTCCCAGGTGCGAGGTAGAACTACTCCTGCCTCGATGGCCAGGTGGTGTTTTGGACAAGCAGGTCGATCCTTTGCGCCATCGCGGTGGCCATAGAGGTTGAAGTTACTGTTCTTACCACGTACAAACATTCCATCGCACCACTTGCATCTGAAACCACGGGGGTCTGTGCCAGTCTGCAATGTTGAACCAAAAAGAAAAAAAGAAAATAAGAAAAGTGAGGAGATGAAACAAAAAGAAAAGAACTAGATGATAACACCTACCTCCTTCTTGACATGGATCGGGGGATGATAATATTCAAGGAGTTGGCCCACTCGAGCACACTGTGCTCGACGTGCTCCGGTTTTGGAGATGATCTCGACATCAGAACTTTGGATTAAGTCTATGCAGTCAGGAACTTTGACATCCTAAAAACAAATTGGAAAAAGAAATGAGAAAACGTTATAGTATTAGTAGTGAAAAGTCTCACCTCCACAGCAAGGCGCTTGCGCTTCTTAGATGGCGTTGTAACCTTAGGTCGAGTCTTTCCTTTCGACTTGAACATAGCTGGAACTCTACCCTTGGTCGCACCGCGCTTACCAAGAGAGCTCGATTGACCCTTTTTGACGACTACACACTTCTTCTTAGAGTTTGATGCCCTCTTTGATTGCGCTTGAACAATTACTGAATCATCTGACTGGTCAGAATGATCAGATTGATCAGATTCAGACTCCTCCGACTCCAATACTAAGGCTGACATAGATTGGTCGGAATTCGATCCAGGAGCCTGTTGAGTGTGATTGGTAGGATGAACTAAAGCGCGGCGAGAATCAGGTGATTGAAAAACAAAGCCAGGGGATGGGACAGCCAGATTTTGACGACGGCGAAGATTATGAGAAGAGGTAGGGGTAGGTGAACTCAGTTTAATTTGAGAACCAGTGGTGGATAACAGCTCTTGAGACATTTTAGATGATTGGGTTGTTGGTTTGATACAATAGTAATTAAACTAATGAAAACAGTTTGAAAAGGATAAGAAAACGATATAAAAATCAGTTATAGCTAGATACCACAAGCGAAGACGATGTGGATGAGGAGAAAGAACAGATACTCACCTCTTTGGCAGGGTATTTATTCTCTAGCTGCTGAGGGTTCGTATACAGTGATGCACTCTGTAAGACCGTTGTCCGTATCGGTGATAGGCTCCAGCCGAGTTCCAATGTTGATTCCATCGTGATTTGGTTTTGAATTTGGTCTGTCATAATCATCGCCCATTCACCGCAAGTGTTTGTTGAGTATTCGAGGTGATGGTGCAAAAGAAACTGGTTTCTTGTGTGGTCTGACATTCGAAGAAGGTTGGTTTGTATTGAAAGTACTCCAACGAAAGTTCGAAAGGAGCGAGAAAGGAAGTAACCCACATATCCTAGTGTGATACGTCTGTTACAGGACAATTCATATGTATTGTACATACCTACGTACCAATATGTACGATACATACCACTATTAACCCATATCCGGCCGCTATTTGACTCAATTGCGCTGCGGCGCAACAAGCTCTTGGCATGGGTCACTGTGATGGTGGTGCAAAAGTACCGCTCGACAAAAGTGCCCATAGCTTTGGCGGTGCGGTTGCTGCGCAACCGCACCACAACCACAATCCCGAGCGGAGCGGTTCAGGTATTGATGGAAAGATGAGGGAAATTGGATGGAAGTCAAGTACATCATTGTTTCCGACCAAGTCAAGATAAATAGGAGAGTGGGCACAACAAGGGTATCATGATTGTGAGTAGCGAAAATCAGTCTGTGAACAGCCTTTGGTAAACACCTTTCAAAAATGTGAGCTTACCAAGGTCCACTCTCTCCCACTTTTTGACTTTTCCCAGTCTTTTGGGATCCACTCAGCTTACTTGTGTGGTGTTGTCCTTGCGCCACCCAATCCTGACCGGTCTGGTTTGCGTTTTGAGTAACATAGCCTTTATGACTTTGATAGTACCCATTTTGCTGATAGCCCCCATACCCTCCTCTTTTCTTCATTATACCCTTTCCTTAATTCTCATCTCCTTCTCCTTTGATTGGCTGCCACTCTGAGCTCAGGACGTACTTGCAGTTGGGGTTGGAGTGGTTGAGGGCTGGCCCATGAAGAAGTCGTATCCAAACTTCTCCTGGCCAGGGGCATAGGGATTGCCCTCAAACGGCAAGTCTCAAGCAGTCTTGCAATCCCACCAAGCCTGTCTAACTGCCAGTCTCTGAATCCCCCTTTGTAGGACAATGGTCTCTACCTTCTTCCCCGGTTTTCTGTTCTTCTTTGTGTTGTATATGACTCTAGAGTGTTTCCTAAAGTTTACCACTCTAACTTCTAGATGATATCTTAAGCTGATCATCCAGCACTTATACTTCACCATCAGAGTGTTCAAAATGGCGTTGTGTTGACTCATGAATGTGACATAGGCTTTGTGTCCATATATTGGGCTGCATATCTTGTTTCTAAATTGCTTGCCATCACAAATTCTCCATACATCATCTGTCTTTCTTGATCCCATTCTGAGATCAAAGTGTTAATTCCCTTCTTCCATTTTTGGAACTGTCATCCACCGCAGAGTGGAAGGCTCCTATGTAGGACCTGTGAAATACTAACAAGGGGAAATACTTCTTGAAGTTCTTGAAGGCCTTGTCCTAGTTCTCTGGGAGATCCGGAAGGTCAAAGCCAAACTCAATGTGTTTCTTTTTCCCGCCTTTCTCTTCCTCTGACTCAGAAGAATTGGAGGAGGCTGCGGATGAATCAGAAGAATCAAAGGAGTTTGGAGTGGTTGTAGAGACCAAGGGTTTCGATTCATCATCAGATGGATCTGAGGACGGGGAAGTAGAAGAGGATCCATTTGAGCTATCTGAGGTTGAGGTTGAGGAGGTCGAGTCTGAGCTGGAAGATGAGTCTTTTCTTTTCCTCTTCTTCAGTTTCTTTTTACTCAACTTTTTCTTCTCTTTAGATGACTTCTTTGCCTGCTTCTCGTCCTTCCTCTTTTTTCCCCTAACATTCTTCTTTGCCTCCAAAAGTTCCTTCTCCACTTTCACCTCCTTTTTCACTTTCTTTGCCTCTGCCTCTCTCTCAGTTCTGATTGCAATACTTTTATTGCATTGAGGTTTTTGTGGTCAATTGCATAGAGTAGACGGTCTATGAGAGGCATTGTATCACTGGGCTTCTTCTCCTTCAAGGAGTGTTTCAACCTCTTCAATAAAGGTTTGTGAGCTGGCTGTGAAGAACCTGCTATCAACAAAGGAGCTACATCCACCCCAGAAGAATTGGATTAACAATGTTATTAGAGAGAGAGTGAAGTAGACATGAATGTCAGTCTGTTATTCCGCAAATAAAGGAATTTAAGAACATCTTTGCTTCTACAACTGCCAAAGGAATTTGGAGTCGGAGCCTCCTTGATCATCTCCTCAAACAATTCTGTAGGGAAGTTCTTAATCATGCGGTTTCCCCCTCTACCAAGTTGGTAGACCCCATCAGGGTTTTCCATACTGTGGGCAAGCTAGATAGTGTGGGGGCGGGGCTTTTTCTGGCCCTCTGCTTCAACATCAACCAGAATGCTACAGCCTTGATGACAAATGAGCAACTCTGGAACTATCACAGGGTCCAAATTTCACACTCCCGACGCGTTAGCGAGGGAGTGATGCATGTTTGGTGTCGAGATTCATCCAAAACTTATACTCAGTGCTAAGCAATTTGTTGAGTGGCCTTTCTCAACTTGAGCAGGTTTAGAGATTCAAACCACCTCCCCGAGCTCTGTTCAGAGCTCGACTCAAGCTCTGTTCAGAGCTCGACTCAAGCTCTGTTCAGAGCTCGACTCAAGCTCTGTTCAGAGCTCGGCTCAACCCCTCAGCTCCCTACTAACCTACTCGAGTCCAACCCGGTTAATTACCTTTGTTCTCATTACCGTTTCTTTTCCTTTCAACTCACATAAAGATGAATACGTCCTCCTAGTCTGGGACGATAACTAACCAGACTTGAGAGAATTTTTGGAATCAGAAACAAAGAGAAAATGAGAATTGTTAAGAGACAAATTTAGATCGATTGTATCGATTGGAGTCAAAAATTCTAAGAAAACGACAACTAGAAGTTGAGAAAACCACGACTACAAATGAAAAAATAATGATTGTGTATAGAGTGATTAGATTTGAAAAAAAAGACAAATGAATCCCCTCCCTACTTGGTTTTTCCAAATATCATGACATCTGCCGTCTCAACTTGGCAATCATGTCCTTAAGATCAAACTCATCTGGTGATAACGCAAGTTCCGACTGTCGAGCCATTGTGAGGTACTTCGTTACATAATCGTCCCTCACCAAAGATCTCGGTAACTTCTTTGGAGGGAACGATCTACTTTTGTCCTCTTCACTCATCTCGACATGATCTCCTCGGCGTAAAGCTTTGGTCGCAATACTTTCACCCCGAGGATCCATTCTCAAGTGAATGCATAGCTCACCAAGCAAATTGAGTAAAGTGTCAAAATCCTCCTTCCTCCAAGGCAGCTTCCGTCGAAATTGGTGGTTGTCTTTATCGAGTTCATCCTCAGAGTGAACCCTGGAATCCAAAATGATGAGATGTAGTTGGCGTTCGTCTGGAAAATACTTCTTGAAGGTTTCAGCTCGAAGTGTAGATACCTAGGATAACGTAAAGAAACAAGAATCAGATACACAATAATATGATGGCGGAGATACGGAGACCATCAGACTTACACGCTTCCTTGAGTTAGCCCGGCTAATCTTATCCCTTGCCTCTTTATCATCATCAACATCGTTCATGGAGTTGTAACCCGGATCGTTCTCCTTATTTGATGTCTCGCGAAATTGGCGTGAGAACTTTGAACGCTGCGTGCTGTACCATCGCTCAAAAATCTTGAATTTGTTCAAGGATGTGGCGTGATCAGCGTTGATAGAGTACCTCGATGCATCACCCCTATAGTAGCACTTTTCCCACTCTTGTAGGATTATAGTGGACATCGCTTCGTTCCATTTAGATTGGAGAGGGTTAAGCCAATCGAATGTGCATCTAGAGAATCCAGCCAGGGCAAGCGCTGCCTCACAAGTTGATGCTACGGTGGTTGAGAATTTGGTAGAGTTTCGAGAGGAAACACGCGAAGTAAAGATTGCCGGTTTGAGTTTTTGAACAGCTTTTTTGGTCGCTTCTTCTTCAATCAATTTCAGCTCCGCGCGTTTAGGGGCCGGGTTGTACTTTAAAAACCTTTCTCGTTCTTTCTTGATACGTTCTGCAATGCTTGTCTTCCGATCCTTCTTGCGTTTCTCCCATTTGCTAATTTCCGTTTCAGATGGTGGGCTGGGAAGTGTTGATGTTCTCCTTTGACCCCGAACTTTACGTGTGACACCTAGAAGAAGTTTACAGTAATCCTGAATACAAATTGATAGCTGCTCATTTTTGGAAGGCCCTTGATCTTCAGTGAGCTTCTCAAACCGAACACCATCGCGTCGTGATTTGGTAATCTTAGAACGAGAATGGGCTGCTTGACGCTGATAGTGTTGTCTTTGATGCACATCGAGGTCGCTTTCGGAGCCGCTGTTAGATTCATCAGATTCTTCACTAGATGACACATCAGATCGTTCTGGTGAAGGTGAAGGGCTTCGTCGTGATGTTGAGGCTTCTCCAGAGGCTCGTGTAGACCGATCGCGACGTGCAGAGGTTGTTGTACGTTGTGATGAGTGAGATGATGAGCTTCGTGAGTGTGATGATTCTCTGAATAGTTGTGATGGTCGATCATCAGTCAAGCTATGAGCTGGAGAGTGTGAGCGCTGTGATGTGGATTGAGGTACCTCTAGAGAGCGTCCTGAAGCTGATGATGACTGCTGACGGGTTGAGGTGCTTGACTGGCGTTGAATTGAGGTGCGTGAAGGGTCACCTGAATTGGCAGTTGTGTGACGTGTTGAATCTCCAAGGTCAAGAGTTGCAGATGTTGTTGAGGTATGTGACGGGTTGCTCATGTTGATTTCTGAAGGGTTGCTTATGTTCTCAGTTGGTCTTGGTAAGTTGAAAGGTGGGTGACTGGTTGCAACTTCGGAGGCAAGATGAGGCGGCATGTTCTGAGTGTATGGATTGAAATTAGATGATGGCGGAAATAAAATGAAGGGTGTCCCGGAGCCTTGTGGGTGTGAAATGGGAGTGGTCTGAATAACAGGCATATTTGGATAAGTTGCTCCGAGGCCCATCGAGATAGGATAAACTGGAAGCTGCTGTGGATGCCAGCCAAATGCTTGTGGACCAGAATATGCCGGGGTATTAGTCAGAGTAGGGTTGAATTGGTGAAATCCCATGCGGGGATTAGAGTCGCCGCCTTGAGGAGTGTAGCTTTGATTGTATGGATTCTGAGAAGTTGATTGCGCAGGGATCGTGGACTCATGAGAAGTTGATTGCGCAGGGATCGTGGACTCATGAGAAGTTGATTGCGTAGGGATCGTGGACTCATGAGAAGTTGATTGCGCAGGGATCGTGGACTCAGAATCGCGGGTACAATGGTGTTGCATGGGATCGTGCTGGTTAATGTGGGATAGATCTGTATGTACAAAAGATGTGAGCTTCCGAAATTGCAATGAAATCTCTTTTCTTATAGTATATCACATACCTTCATTTTTAGTATAACGACGACACCAGTTAGAGCAATCTATAATCCTCCCTTCAAAACGCAAACAGTTAGGTCGAGGAATTACCATCTTGATAATAAGAAATAGAACCTACGTTTTGAATTTGTTGCAAAAGTAGTACATTCTGAATTAGTTTTGCTAGCACTGAGAATACGTTTCGAGGGGGTTATATTTGTTGGGGGGCCAGGTGAGTCGGTATCCATGGTTGATGAGGTAGAATCAGTGAGTGCGTTTGTATGGTGTTGGCTGGTTGAATCAATCATTTGTTGGTTCAGGCTTGGAGCGTCAAGTGGCACTAACACAGCACATTCAGGAGAAACGCAAATATCAGGACCAAACCTTGCAAGAGATAAAGTGTGAAACTCACTAGGATGGGTGATAGATGTGGCATCGGTGGGCTTTTCCATATTGAGTGGACCTAGGAGGATCAGAATTATCTCAGTGATACAAACCAACCTGAACCACAGTTGAATCAAAAAAAAGCTGACCAAGATGTTCCAAATTGGATTCCTCAGATTCCGCCAAGACTGGGATCGTATCTACCACATAGGAAGTCGGATGTTCTGCTGATGTAGTAGCTTCATCTATAATGGACAAAGAGGTGCAAAAAACAAGTGAGATCAAATTGAAATGAAGCATCAGCCAAAAATTAGGCCAGAGGTTCTTACCGAGTTTCATATCAGAACTGAGACCCTCTGGTTCGTCAAACATCATTGTATTTTCCTCGTGAGAAGCCGGATGGTTTTCTAATGCAGTAATTTGATTATCTAAAGTGGCCAAAGTAGTGCAAATCGAGTAAGTTGAATTGACTGTCAGTTAATGCTTGGACATAAGAGTTAATCCTTACCGAGTTCCATACCAGGTCCCAAATCTTCTTGTTTATCAAGAACGTTGGCATCGTCCTCATGGCGATTCAGTCGGTCTGGCGGTGAAGTCAATTGATTGTCTAACATGGAGGCACAAAAGTTCAGTCAGTTGAAAATGGCCATAAAAGTGGATGATTAGACAGGGTCATCCTTACCGAGTTCCATACCGGGCCCTTATCCTTTCGTGAATTGTTAGTGTCACTTAGTGAAAAACGTATCAAGGTGGGAAACGGTTTGGAAGATGAGGACGGGTGGACTTTTCAGTAATTAGGAGCACAAAACACACAAGTCGAGAGAAAATACGAAAACCTTCAACTTGAGATTGACACGGATGATAGACAAAAAAACCAGTGACTTACTCACCTTTCTTGAGTCGACTTACAGCTTAAACAAAATGAAGTGTAAATTAATTGCCTTTGTCAAAGCAGAAAACAAATGAGATGAGAGAAGATTGGAAGACTTTCAACTCAAGAACAACAACACGGATCATCAACAAAAAAAATGACTTACTCGCCTTTTTTGATTCCACTCACCGCTTTAAAAATGAGAGAGTCAATGTATTGCCCTTGTCAAAGCAGAAAACAAATGAGATGAGAGAAGATCTAAACACTTTCAACTTGAGATCAACATGGATCCTTGACGAAAAAAAAACAAGCACGACTTACTTCCCTTTCTTGATCCTACTTATAGCTTTGGCTTCTCATGTAGGTCTGCTACCTTTGTCTTGACTTTGGTCGTGTATGTATGTGTTCACGAATGGGAACATTCATCAGAACTTTCTTCTAAGTTTTTCTTATCTACAATATTGATAACGGAGCCCACGGAAGATCCTAAAATTACGATTAATGGTCAGACTATTGTTCTAAAAGTTTGTTTGGAACTAAAGAAAAGAACACACCCCAAAAGAGATGCCGATTTCTAGCTCTTGTTGGATAATGAAAGGAGACTTTGCTAAAGTAACTTGCTGTTGTCTAACGAAGAACAAAAACCACATTTGATAGTAAGTCGCATCCGATTCGAAGGGAGGCCTTTCTGAGCTTAATGGGAGAGATTAGAAAGAGGAAGTACGTTTGGATGACAGTCTTTTTTCTTTGTTGTCCGAGGTCTGAAGGTAATATTGATGGTCTCGTGTTGAGCCTTGATCTATAAATAGTATTGACGTTCAAGAGCACTCAAATGAGCTCAAATCATAGGTCACTTCTGGATCAAACTTTGATATACAGAACGTTTTCAACACTTTCATATTTTTACACTACTTAAACTCCTAGACACGCTCATATATACTACATATACAATGGCTGTACATATTAATGTTCGTGGAAGTGTGAAGGGAAATTTATCCATTAGCTCAAGCACTCGACGTAGATCGCCTCGACAGTCATCCATTAGATCCCGTTCAGCTCGAAGTTCATCCGTTACGTCAGCTTCATCCGAATCATCTATCAGATCATCCTCTCACAGATCATCTTCGGCTCCACGCGAACCTACCCCACCTTGCGCTCAACGACCTCGTGAGATACCAGCAGTACTCGACCATCCAATACATCAACGTGACCCAATCCCAGCCTTCCACACCAATCCAGTATATTGGCATAGAGTGCTAAACTTACCTCATCACCTTACTCATTTCATGACGCCCGACTACGACCTCACTACTATCGAAAAGATTGATCTTCGCCACTTGATTCAACACTTCAAACCAGGTCACCGCATAGTCCAACGAGCTTCGAAAGAAAAAATACTCAATGAATTTGAAAAGCATGTTGCACAGAGGTATGGAGCGTTCTACGGCATATGAATCGTATGCAATCTCTATACAAGTACAAATTGTGGTGAGTTATTGATCCCCCTCCCATACATACATCTCATGAAGTCCGCCTTTTTGCTAACTTCACTTGTCTTTTTCTCCCGAAAGATACGTAGGTGCGAAGTTATCTTATCGTTATTGCTAGTGGCTGTATACGTTACTGTGGGTGGTTGGATGACTGGTTTTTCTGTATGATGTAGTCGAGATCAATCTTGTTGGTTTTTCACACTTGTTGTTCTCAGGTTATATGGATATTTTACCTTTCTCTTCTTCTTGATGTTTATCTTACCTGTGAATAGTCTCTCTTCTTCTCGATGTTTATCTTACCTGTGAATAGTCTCTTTTTTATACTATCGAATCAGCTTGTTTTTTTCACTATGCCTTCAAGATCTAGTTTATGAGCTTTTATATTTTTTCTTTCCGTTCTTCTTTATCTCTATCTTACTTGTGAATAGTCTCTTTTGATTCATTGTATCGATTTTTTTTTGTTTCGAAAATCATTTTATGAGCTTGTACAACCTAATCTTTTGGATTGGAGAGCCCTAATTTCCTGTTGTGATTCAAGGATTTCCAAAGTGTTGAGGAAATTGACTTCGAGCCAAGTCCAAAAATATTATTAGTTCATTTGAACCATGCTACACCTATGTCTTTTACAGTCACATTGATTGAGCTGATGTCAAAGGTGTTGTAGGTGAGTGTAGGCAGCTCTCAAAATGAACTATAAACAATAACAATAATATTCACAGGAAAAATGAGAAAACACCTAAAGAAAACGTTAAACAACATCAAAGAAGCTGAAAGATTCATACAAGTAAGCAGTATAAACAAATCGGAAAAGAAAATATGGACAATAACATGAATATATACAGAAGAAAAAACAGCAACAAAGAGAAGAACTCGACATTGGAAGTGAAAATTTGTACAAAGAAAAATTGAAACACACAATTTAAGAATTTTAAGATAATCAAGAGGCATACTCTTTGAGCATGATCCACATACTACATACTGCGACGCCTTTGATCAGTGCTGACAAGGGGACAATATTGAAAGTGGTTAGTTCCTTTCACTACACTGTCCATGTTTTCCAATATCTCCTTCATAACCTCATCGATTCGGTCTTTGCAGTTGCATCCGAAATCAACAGCTGTAGAGCCAACTGTGGAGTGGTAAAAGACAGTTATATTGGCGTCCATCTGAGCGTCAAATTGGGATAGGATGATAATGAGAAGGCGTGTCACGCACCTTTGGGGTGTTTAACATGCACTGGAGTCCAAGGCGTATCCAGGATCATTGCATCATCCAAAAAATCAGTTGTTGGATGGTTATGGACTGGTGTGATCGGTACTACACACATTTGAATCAGATCAGTACATGGATATTCAGATCATATAGTGAGAAGGATTGTAACAGACCGTCGGGTTGTCCAAAAAAATTGGGAGTACAAGGAGTTCTGAAGATTGAGTCACTAGAATTGATGTCTTGATGGTTATGGACTGGTGTGATCGGCCCTGTTAACAGTCAAATCAGATCAGAATATTGATATCCACATCATACCATGAAAAGGAGTGTAACGGACCGTTGGATGGTCCAAAAACAATGGGAGTATGAGGAGTTCCGAACATCGAGTCGCCAGAATTGATGTCTTGATGGTTATGGACTGGTGTGATCCGCACTATACGCAGTCAAATCAGATCAGTATATTGATATCCAGACCATACCATAAGAAGGAGTGTAACGGACCGTCGGGTGGTCCAAAAACATAGGGAGTACGAGGAGTTCCGATCATCGAGTCGCCAGAATTGATGTGTTGATGGTTATAGACTGGTGTGATTGGAGCTATACGCAGTCAAATCAGAGCACCATATGGGTATCCGAATGAGTATCAGATAATGGGAAAAAAGAATGATAATGAAAACGGGTGTAACCAACCGTTGGGGTGCTTTCCAACACTTGGAGCACAAGGAGGTCCTACGATGATTGGGGGATTGGCAGAGTCAATTTTTTGACGTTTAGGAACAGGTGAAATTGTAACTACAAGCATCCAACTTCAATCAGCATAAGGACATCTGAAATACAGTTAAAGAGTGATAGAGGGAAGATGTGGAAGTACGACATACCTTCGATTTTTTGGTCAAGAACTTCTACTCGTGCGCGTTTGAGAGAGTAACTTTCAGATTCGAGTGCCTTGTTTGTATGCGGTATAGGCTCAGATGTGGTTGCAGTAGCAGCGGTCGACGAGGAATTTTGATCAAGACTCATAATCTCCGGACTAGGGCAAGTAGTTTTGTGATCAATCGATATCAAAATCGAGTGAGCCTTGTGATTGCCACAGTTAGAATGGGTGGTAGTCGCATGCGCTGGGGAACTGCTGTTGAAGTTTATGACGGTATGAATATCATTATGCGAAATGTCACCCAAGTTTCTAGCCTCTTGAATCGGTTGGCCTGCGCCTATAGAGACCAATAACTCGAAGTCGATTCTTGGTCGTTTATGACTAGCATCCTCGGCCGTATCTGGTTCTGAAGGTAAGACACAACTATTATCAGCATACACAAATCAAGATATTGTAGCAGGATTGGTGGACCAATAATCAAGAAATTACCGTTGGGGTGTTGTGGGCGTTTTAAGGATACACTTCCAGGCTTCATCACATCGCCAACTACTGAAATGGCCTCAGGCGTGATCGCATCGGCAGTGTTTGAAGGACTATGAGTATCTGTGTGATTGTTGATTGTTCTTGTGATATCAGTGCGTAGGGCTTCAGCCAAATTGGAGATCGCATCAGCTGTGAGAATGTTATCTTCATCAGGTTGACTGGTCGTAGCAGAGGGAAGTATGTCATCATTTGTCATGACTGCTGAGGCATTCGCCTCAGGAGTCAATCCGCTATAGCTCTCGCTACAGTAACGAAGGATCGGGAATTCAACATCGCACGCGTAGGCTGACTCTAAGTCTGACTGATAGGCATAATCCGAATGACTCCTGTGACCTCGGCGAGCTCGTATCACTTCGTTTGGAAAGTACAGAACGTCAGGTGGATAGACAGACTTGTCACCGCATTTCAAAGCTTTCAACTTACCCGCCCATTGTTGTGCCTTCCTATAACGCTTGTGGAGAGAACCAAGCAGATTCTTGAAAACCTTCATTTGGAAATTGATTTATACAAAGTGATTTGCTTAAGACTAGAGAAAAGGTTGAGAGTGAACTTCACTTAAGACTAGAGAAAAAGTTGAGAGTGAACTTCGCTTAAGACTAGAGAAAAAGTTGAGAGTGAACTTCGCTTAAGACTAGAGAAAAAGTTGAGAATGAACAGAAAATGAGAGGATAGAAAATTTTATAAGAATTATATTCAAGGGTGGGATGGTAAGTGGGAAAAGAAGCCACCAAGTGGAAGAATAAGGATCAGTAGGGAGAAACATACGAGAGAGATACGAGTACTTGAATCAATGATCCTGCGGGAAGCAAATTGATCACAAAGGATCTTCACCCTCAAAGGGCTTCTACACTAATAAATCTTCCTTCAGATACGTGAAACAAAATATGTGATACTCTGAGATCAGACAATTAGGGGAACAAATACAAACAAAGGTCAACATGCAGATTAGCTTCTACAAAACAAAGGAGGTCTAAAATCAAAACAAAGATATGCGTAATCTTACAGCTATTGTTGATGTTTTGAAGAAGCCACAGTGGGGGTGAGTATAAGGAACTCGCCGGTTTTTGGCGGTGAGTATAAGGAACTCGCCGGTTTTTTTGGTTAGCTTTTGTCGCATGCAAAACAAGCACATATATAGTTCAAGCACTATAATCTGGTGAACCAAACAGTTCGGGTACTACAGGTGACTTGTTCAACTTTGTATCGTCTTATTTTGTCCCGGCATCACCGATTAAGATTATTTCATCATAAATTGTTTTATTGTTTAGTGAGAAAAGTCATGAAAAAGAGGTCGCAAGTTTGTGGGACAACTTTTGAAAAGAATAAAGGTAGCAAGAAAAAGACATTGTTTGATTTTTTGCCGAATGAATTTTACAAAGAGAAAGAGGAGAATGAATTCAACAAGTGAGCCATAGATAACTTGAAAAGTCATATGCTCTTATTTTTTTCAAAGATAACAACCCTACTTAGCTTTCCTAAGTTTCGCAAGTTGCTGGAATCTCTGCAGCGAGTAAATCCTAAAACAAAACACATCAGAATTCAAATGATCAGCCAAATTACCTTGAACATGTTTCACCGCCAAAATTGACAAAAAGCTTACTGAGTTCCTCAAACTGACAATAGAGACAGTTTTCTGCGAGATCCCAAACGTTTTTTCAAGGTTGAAAACAGCCGCAAAATGGCCAATTATATCTCTGACGTCTACTACAACTTTCGGGGCAGGTTTATCATATAGTATGGTAGCATGAAGACCAGGATACAAAGAATATAAATTGAGCTTTGAATCGGAGGCACTCAGTTCAGTGAATGGCTCAAGTTGGAGAAAGTTTGTTTGTATCAGGGACGTCCGGAATATTGCCTCGATTCGTCCATACCTTTTCTTTTTTCTTAACCAAAACTCAACCAAAGTATTGCCTTCGTGGGGTTTGCTGGCTTTAGCACAGTTGTAGAACTTTCCATCAATATTAAGTCTCTGGATGGTCCGAACATGATCTTGCAGTACTTGATCTGGGCAGTCTGTTGTGGCTATGTTGTCGAATTTGTTCCGAAATGCTCCGTAACGTCCATCTATATCATTGTTGAGATAGTTAAACCAAGTTTGGTAGGTGGTCAGCTGATCTATAGATGTGAGTGTTGACCATACAGGAACGTGTGATCCAGTGAGTGTGGCAACTGCACTGTCTCGAATTCTGTCATCCACCCGACTCAGTAAAGCTGATGTGTGGTTCAAAACGGATTGGAACAGTCCTCGTCGGATAAATGAGTTACATAGTGTCTTTTCGAGTTCAGCTGCAAAAACAAGTAGATCATCAATACCCCAAAATCCTGTGTAGAGGTGCCATTATAAAGAAAATTCCCCTTACCTGTGTGACGGTTTGTTGGGGTTTTGATTAATGCGCCGTTCATTCTCTCTCCTGCAAACCCTGCTGTATATGATGGAGGTCCGTATAAAGTTGCTATTTCCGGAAGGTGTTGTGCGACATGTAAGTTTGATTTTACACTTACACTTTTCCAGTGTGTATTGATGTGATGCCGATAATCTTGTAAAGATGTTTGTAACCTGTCACATTTTATTTGATCGAATGTGCGAGAAAATGTACAATTAACAATCCCTCCTAGTTTGATGAGACTTTGACAAATAATTTTTTCTGAATCATCCTCAGACTTGTACAGCTCTGGGATCATAAAAAGCACCATATAGACGGTATACAACACAAGCCATTCAGTTGCTTTCACATGTCCAGCACTTCCCATTCCTATCTTTGTTGGAAGTCGAGTCATCCATGTTGGAGTGACTATAGTTGGAGCGGCCTGATGCAGTTTTTCCAATAACGAGACCGTCATTTTAGGATCTTTGGGGAGCTGGACGTATTGAGAGGAATCTGGAAACCCTCGGACAGTTGAATTCAAATCACTTCGAGCTGGAGAATTCGAGATAATTGGAGCATTTGAGCTTGATTCAGGTTGAGATACCGAGCTTGAGCCTGAATCTTCTTGCATAATCGAATCTTGTGAGCTTAAATTGTGCTGAGAAGATGACATGTGTGGGTGATTGATTTTGCGTTTTTTTTTAGTCGATGTTGCAGGGATGATTCTCTGGGCTGTGTAGGATGTGACAGACGATCCAGATGATGAGTGTATTCGTGTCGAACGTCTGAGTGACCGGTATTTGTAATCTTGAGACAATTGTCTTTTTTTCCCTTTGCCAGGTATAATGCTGATTGTTCCTGAAGGTTTCGCAGTATCTATATCCCGATATCTTTTGTATGACTCCTCAACAGGACTTCTACCGCGTTTGCTACGGTTAGATCGATCAAGGATCTCTGATTCACTACGACCATCCGTGTCTTCAGTATGTTCATCTACGTCTCTAGTACTTCCATCTATGTCTTCAGTATGTTGATCTATTTCTTTATTACTTTCCTCTATGTTTTCAGTAATTTCATCAATATCTGAACGGCTTTGATCTGTGTCTTGAGCATGTTTTTCTATGTCTATGCTATCATTGTTAGACTCAACGCTACTTTGTTCCTCCATTGTTTCTTCATGACTCGCATCGAGTTGACCTGGCACACTATCCGTGCTATCAATATGTTTTTTTCTTCTTCGTAGATACTAGGGGACGGCAGGGATTGGATGTTGATCAGAAGGTGAGTTCCAAATCACAGAATACTACCTTCATGATAAAAAAACTTACTTCATGACGATGCATTCCCTTCCGAGCATTGGACTCATAGATAGATTTCAACTTTTTTCCAGCATCAAAGATCCCGATACATGACCTTGAATAATCAGATAGAATACCCAAAAGCACACAGTGCATGATATCTACTGTAACAAACTCGTGCGGTCTCCAGTACGGCAGCTTTGAGAATATACTATATCGAACTCCAAAATTGTCAAAGATTTCATTTTGGTCTTCCAAGGTCTCCGCGTCTCTCCACGCCTCAGAATGAACTTGATGGTCTAATCTTTTGGGCCACTTGGTAATGTCAATTTCGTCCATGTTGTCTTTGTCTAAAGCACAGTGAGGACAGAAGAATGTCGCCGTGTGAGATGCAAAACCTGCAATTTTTCGCATCCCAGGGGCATCAGCGATGAGGGGCCAGATGACCGCGCGGATGACACGTCCACCGTGATGCCTTGGTGTCGAGGTGAAGAAAACACCATCCCAGAGCTGCATGAACTCTTCCACTAATGGTTTCAGAGGATGGTTGATCTGATCAGTTTTTGGCTCTTGAGGACCAGGAATGATGCCGTATAAAAATATATTTTCCTGCTTGTACCGCATCTCCGGAGGTAAGTTGTAACATATGAGTATCGCATTTCCGCTAGAGATGTGCCTTTGTGATCCACGTCCGTGTGGGTTGAACCAATCACAAAAAAATCCAAAGACCAAGTTGCCGCTTTTCGAAGTATATGGTACTGAAGAGTTACTGGAAGAGATTTCGAAGGTTTTCCACATCCGTCCGTCCCAGATGTCGTATGTTTTTGTCGGATCTGGCCGAGTCAATTGAGTAGCTCTGATAATAGACGCATCTAAATGGTCCTCGAACCCTGGAAGTAACATCATCTTAGCAAGCCACAATCGCAGTGACTGGTAATGAAAGACACGATGAGGCTTCAGTGTCGCATTGTCGTATAGAGAGGCATCACAGATTTGCCGGTAAGTCTTTTCATCTTTCTTCTTTCTTGAGATTGATTGAAAGAAACGCATGTTATCGCACTTCGGCTTATATGTTTCTGGGCTTGTCGGTTGGACACCGTGTAACGCAAAACATTCCGGGCAGCATATTTCTGAAGTCAGATTGGATTCCAGATTGAAGATGTTGTATAGCTTTGGAAGCGTGGTTGGTATATCAGACCAAAAAGGGTGACCATGATAATTCAATTCAAGACACGCTTGTTCAATACTGAGTTTGGCAAGCTTGAGAGCAGCTCGGCTTGACCGATGACTAGCGCGATCCTTGATACTCGATTTGGCGACTTGAAGCATACTGATTAAGCAGGAAGGCTTTTGAAGAAATACGTCTGGTAGTCGATATTGTTCTGTAGAAAGAACAGATGGCGGTCTAGAAGTAGCTGACAGTGAACGCCTCCGAGACGGCTGAGTTGATTCGCCTGAGAACGAGGAGCATCTCTGTATACGTAAATCACTAGTGCTCGAAGATCTGCGACGCCTCTGATGAACGATTTCCCCAGAAAAGAATGATACAAGATCAATAAATGAGAATCAAAAGACAAAAGAGAAGGCAGAGCACATACATTCATAGGAAGAGTATCTTCCAGGAGGCTCAACGATGTACCATCCCCTGATTTGTGCCGAAGTCGTCGTAGCTCAGCCTCGTGTATCTTGCCGTTATGGGAGGTGCGCATTCTACCGATCGTTATGACCCCATCGAGCGCAAAGCTTTCCGCTCCACATCCTAAC